AACAAAAGGGCGGCTTTGAAGTTTGATGGTGAGCTCACCACATTTCTTCTAGACTGGTAAGTAAATAGCTGTTAATGCTAACGTTGGCTATGTAGCAATAGCAAAACCTACAAATAGCTCCTTTAGGTGTCTACATGCTCCTCTCCTTAACATACCTACCTGCTTACTTTGCACTTAAATGATCATGGCTGGTTCAATTTCCTGCAGAAGGAAACATTAACTGCCACTGATGTCAGGGTTTCTGTTTTATTCTTGCTCCGCTCTGTGTACTTATAAACTCATTTCAATTCACGTCACAAAATGGACGTTTGATGGATGGCCTTTGTTTCTTACAGTGCCCCTGTGACACACGTGTGCAGCCCAAGAGGCAATCAAGCTCCTGAACTCCATTGTTCTTTGTGTCACAATAACAAATAGGTTCACTGAGCAAACGACAGATGTGATTGCAGCATTGACCGGGCACACATGAAAATGAAGTAATTAATTCGAAATTTTTATTAAGGTCTTTTATTGCCCTGCTCCAATTTTATAGAACAATAATAATAAGCAGGAGGAATTATGCAAAAACAAGCTTTGAGGACTTGACTTTTGTTCGAGCTTCAGGGCACTGATTACAAACACAGAGAGCAGCCTATCTGTCCTTAGTCAGAGGTTGTTGGTGAGTAAGAGGCACTTGTGAGGCGTGTTGTGGTCATTCATGGGCCCTCGGGAACATATGATTATGGTAACAACACTCTCACGGAGAAAGGAAAAAGTGCACTCTCTGAATCGTGTAAACAGGTTTAAAGATCATCATTACTAGTTGTGGGGCAAACTCAGAAGACAGCTAAAGCTGGAAAGCTTGCACATTAGTTGTGTGAAAATCCGTGTTTAAAAGCCAATTTCAAACAGGGATTTTGAGTCACAAATGTGATGTGCCTACCTATTACATCTGCTGGCTTTAAGATCCATCTTAATGAAGTTATTTGCAGGGGCTTACATCATCGTGTAGAATATAAGCTTGACTGATCCTCAATTCAGCAGAGTAAATATGAATGATGAGACAATCACACATCCAAGACAGCCTACTTCTTTTCATATGAAATATGCTGGTGTGCCCATAGAGCATACAGACGTACTGAGAGAATGTAATTGCATATAATCATTTATTCCGTGTTCAGAAGAGATGTGAGTGATTTGACTTTCTGAAAAACCTATTCTGGGCAGAGTACTGCCCTCAAATATGATGCCCATGTTTTGTGAAATGTGTATTCTACACCTTAGTCGTGCACTGATTGTTCCAGTGTAGCTAGGGTGACCTTTTGGCTCGGCACCATGCCTTCCAACCAAGCACGACTGCAAATGTGAAGCTCAGGCTATGACAAAGACAGAGAAATCAGCATATTTACATGGCTTGCTTCTGCGGGAAACTACTCTGCTAATAGCAAAGTAATAACTCTTGTCTTGGTAGTGTCCCTGTCATCTGATAATTGAATTGGTAGACAATGCCATGCTGCTGTCACAGTGGAGGCTGGCAAAGAAGATAAGTGCAGTAATGTGGCTTTACACAGAGGCAACATGTCACGGCAGGTTGACAAAGTCATGCTGTGATAAATTAAGAGCCAAGCTAGAATGCTATGTGAATTTTGCTTTCAGATATTTTAGCAGCGCTTTGGTTACTCTTGATAAGATCTTTGTATCAGCCACATCGTCATGAAGCCATCAATCTTAAGACAGTCCTCATTTCACCCAGAATATCTGATAGGCTGGTGAGTGTCTCAGCCTCCTCTAAAGCATCCACACCTTTATTCCATGGACCCAAACTACTTTTCGACTGTGTCTGAAATGAGTACGCTATATTCATTTCATTTCATTTCCTATATAACATGTCTGTTATATAGGAAGTAGTAAATGAATGAACAAGGGAGTTCTCTTAGTCAACAAATACTTAAAGGAGCTACTTGTAAGTTTTGCTATAGCTACATAGCTAACGTTAGCATTAACAACTGTTTACGTGTAGAAGAACCGTTGCAACGTCATTCCTTTACTCTGTCTCCATCAGTGGAAAGCAACATCAGTGTTGACTCTTGTCTCTATCACGTGTTTTCTTCTACTGAAGTTAGCACGCTAACCAACTAGCTCCTCTCGTCACTTTCCGATTAGTGACTCACTGCAGCCTCCAACCTGCCCTGAAAATGTAGCGCTGCTCAGAGGGCGGCAATCACCACCGCCTGCTCCCAGCAACAAACCTTGCAAAATTTGTAATAAAAGGTTGTCAATGAATAATTTTAATTACAGTTTTTTTTGATGAAATTAACACTGACTACATTATTCAATTCATGCAAGAATAGCAACAGCAAATGTCAACACTGTGTCAGCAACACAAGTCCAGCCTACACACTGTAACTGACATCTTCTTTCAAAGGTTATTTGCATGTGTTTTCACATGTTTATGAAAAGGGTGCCTATAGAAATCTTATATGTGACATGTACAGGTATTTAAAGGATTCAGTATGCAGAGTGAATCACATATTTCTTTTTATCTCCACTTCTTTTTGTTTCCACTGTTGCATTATTAAACTGAGTCTCATTTGTTTTCACTGTTTTATTCATGCAAGTACTTATACACAATTATAGAGTGGTTGTGTTCCTCACCTTTATGGTCAACTTTCCAGTACAATTAACTGATCATGATTTGAGACAAGCGTCTCCCAGGCAAGTTTTGTTTGTTGTTTGGTCCAAATTGTTCTCCCTTATCTCGTCTATGTGTCCAAGCTACAGGAGAGATTAAGTGTGATTCCACTATCTCTGTGTCTTCAACTCCATAAAGTTAGCTGCATTTTCACATTTACTAGATAAAAGCATCGACTTTATGTCTAAAATGTACTTTTTTTTTATCTGCAATCAGATACAAACTGGAAATGGGTATGTTGTGTGCTGAGTTTTAAGATAAGATGTCTGAAAAATTTTAGCGAGCATGAGCATCGGTCTGTCAATTAATATATTTTAGATGAACAAAAAGCATAATTTGAATCCAATCTTAATAGTTATGATGGCTTGGTAGTGCGTCAAACAACATATCCTTTATAAATTTTCATTATTCAAAAGCCACAGAGCTTATTTCTGTCAGTCAAAGGCAGATGCAAAGGCTCCTCTTATGACTCAAATCTATTTTACCACCGCAATCTGCTAAACAAACAAGAGGCTCTAGCCGATAGGCCAATGCCGTTCAATATTCATAATAGTCTATAAAGAAGGGCTTTAGAGGATCTGGGTGAATTGCATTGTGGATATCTGAAAGGCACTGGTTTTCAGTCTCTGGTTACAGCCACTGGACTGTTTTCCTCTTTAGGAATTTGCATATTCCGCCCCTGCAGCCTTCGGCTCCATCTACAGATCAGTATTTATTCTGAGTCTTAACCAAACCTGCAAAAAGACGGCCAAGCCTCAGATCTGTGATTTGTCCAGCCTGGAGATATTGCATGAGCACTGAAGTCTTAAATCTGAAAGAGAAGGGTTTTTTTCCCAGTTAGCTTAATTTTATCATGAAATTAACAGTTTTGCAGCAGATAGCACACCCACACCTCCCCCCAGAGAAAATCTTGTCATGTTTTCCATCTTTTCCAATTCATTCTCTGCAGAGCTGCAATTAGTGTGACAGATTACAGGGAGCGACAAACTCCTCTCTTGTTTCCTGCCGCCCTGAGGCAGGGAACAAACATTTAAATACTCATACTCCATTGTTTTCATCTGATGCTTTGTTAAGATAATTTTTTCAAATATTTATAGTTATATCCGAGTGCAGAATGAAGATGTGTGAAGTCAAACCTCAAACCACACCTCTGAGCTGAGAGCAGGCTGGGACACAGCACAAATGAATGTGACAGTGAGAGATGGGAACGCTACACTAAAAGCAAAATGAAGGCTTTGTCTGGTGTTTGTCTGCCAGTGAATTAACTAATTATATAAAAAAACATTGTTGTACGCATATAATATGATGGATATGATGCAGCTAGTTTGATTACATATTTGTCTCGGGACTCATCAGTGTTACACACAACAACCTAGAGCCTAGACCCTCTCACTAAAACTTGAAGTCAACTGAATGAAAAATGAAAACCAACTTGAGTTAGGTCCAGTCCAGTGAAAGCTCGGTATATGGGGCCAAGTGGTTAACAGCAGCAACCCAGGTTCAATTATTCATGGCTGTATGTCTTCGCCCTCATTTCCCGTCACCTCTGTACTGTCTGCCTTTGAATAAAGGCAAAAATGTCCCCAAAGTGAAAAATAGAAAGCCCAGTAAAGAGAACAGAAGCATCAGCATTACAGCTGGTACAGCATAAATGTTGAAGGATAATTGGGGCCTATTAGCAGATAGAAAATCTGCATATACTGTGTTTTAATCATTTAAATCATTTTCTAAGTAAAAATAATGGATGACTTATGACTGTATTTGTTGGTTTTTAACATCTTCTGTGATACTAAACTGAACATCATTGAATGTTTATCTGGCAATGCACACACTTTTAGTATGACATATATATACAGTATATTGAGTCTAAAAAATATCTGATAAAAGTATTTTTTTTAAAAACATGTAATTTATGCATTACTGCAAAATGTGAACCCCTCAAGTTGTTGAAATCCCCAAAATTCCCACTCAAAAAAATACACATAGCATGAGCTTGACAGCTGTTGCTCTGCCTGAAGGAGTGGTGCCAACATTTCTGCAGCGAACTTCAGGTTTTATCTCCAAATCGAGCGGGTTAGATAATCTGGTTAAACTGTTGAAAATTGTCATTAACTGTGGTGGGAACAGTGTCGTCATAATCGACAGAAATTTCAGCCGAAGCTACAAAAATAAGACTCAGTGTGAAAGAAAATGGAAATGAGAGTTCAGTCCAACAGAGTAAAAGGATTCTATTGTCAGTGACAAAAATGAGTAAATACCACTGCAAATGTCAAGAGTGTGTGACTGTGTTATTTTTGCAACCACACCAAAGACTGAAGCACTAACTGACCTTATGATGAAATCACTGGAGTCGATGAGGCTGCCGTACTGGGACCCTTTAAGGTTCCCAGAGTTCCCCACCACAGCGCAGGACCTGCAGCGCTCGGGGCTGGCGTCCATGTAGAGCACCTCATCAGGGATGACTTGGAACAGCTCCTCCACCACTTCACTGAAGTTGGCCGGCTGCCTCTCTGACTGCAACCACTGGTGACACAGCAGAGACAGGCCTCAGAGACAGCCGTGGCTCTAGGGCCACTTTAAGTAGAAGTGATTGAACAAGGGCAGCGGAGCTCGAGACACCAAGCACATTTCTGAAATAACCTCAGGGGCAGCTTAGCTCCGTCTGTGGGGGCTCTTTTGGCCTGGCCTTCTTCGGGTGGCTTTGAACTCGGAGAGACAGTAAATAAATGCAGGAATGTGTGCGCTCCGTATGCTGTTACATATTGTGCTGTGGCGGCTGGAAACGGAACGGATACAGAATGTTCTGCTACAATCTCACACGAGCTTTAATGCAGTTTTGGTGACTCATGGGCTAAATATTTTTATGGCGTCTTTTCCACCGTGCCAAGTCTGGAGAAATCCTATAACATTTTTGAATTTTATTTGATATTGAATATGGTTAATACGTGCTGAAATACAGCTTTTAAAACTCTACTGAAACCCAGATTACGTGTATGTTTCCCATCTGATGAGCATCTCTTCCTTTACAGCCATTACACTTAGCCGTGGAACGTGTAAGCTTTGACATCTTACTGGAACAAAGAGCCCGGTACACCTGGAGGTCGTGCCCTTGCCTTGCAGCAGCACAGCCCGAACCATCTGGCTGGACTCGCGTTGATTCGTGACACTTGCCTCATCAAGCTCCCTGTGAGGAGCATTTCTTGAAATGAGTAGTGACAGGAGGCAACCTTGCAGTAATTTTTCTATTCTTGCCTCTAATTGGACACGGTGTGAGGTGAATGTGGGAACACCGAAGGCACTGGATGGCTTCCAGACAAAGGTAGTTTAATTGTGTGACATACAATTTGTCAATGGGCTTTTCTAATTTAGAGAGCTGTACTTTAATAATTGGATGTACAGAAAGTACAGTATATATTGATTTGACAGAATTAAATTAGCGCTGGTGCCTAATTAGTTCTACAGCTGACGTGAATTGTAATTTACAAGAAAGTGGATTTAAAAAAAGAAATCCTCCATAAAACATTTTAACAACTATTGTATCTATAAATAATTATGGGTTACATTTTTTGGGTTTTTTTTGTGTTGTACTTGGCATTACATCCATTTAGATATTTCCTGTGGAGCTGGACCTGGAGTTTGATATGAGGAAGTAACAGTAAACATCTGTCACTGCAGATGAGCAGTCATTTAACACTCACAGCAATCACACAGGTGACAAAATCCATCACACGGGAGGGAGGCAGAGATACCGACTGCAGTGTCAGGTCGTAGTCAAAACTGAAAACTAGAGTAAAGTTAGTGGATTTTCATGGATATTCATTCTAACTAACTTCAATGAATTTCGAAATCAAAGAGTGAAAATCCTTTATCTCGTTAGCTCTAATTGGAAAGAAACAATTTACTGCGTGTTTTCTTTATCTAAATAATACCATGAGGTGACCGTTAAAGAAGCACTCCAGCAAATTAGTATTACACCTCCGGAAAATTGAATTTGTACTTGAGAAGCTGATTAAAAAAAGGAATGGAAATCAAAGCAGCACACTGGCTTTCAGTTCCTTACATGAGTCAGACTTTACAAACTACACTTCCTATAAAACAACTCAATCGCATCTTTTGTGAGAGGAGAAACTTACATACTTTATGTATTGTTTTAATGTTTAAAGGTATTGAAGGCTACATTTTTCTTTCCTTAATAAGCTGTTGGGAAAAACTGTAGTCAAAACATATTCATGAACAGCGGCATGTTTGCATAATATTTGCAACGTTTGTGTTATTACTGTCGGACTGAAGGAGGCAGGTTGCAGGGGGCCGAGCTAAGGGTTGTGCTATCAGCTATACATTGAAGTTATAATGGTATAAACAGTATCTCTCGCCGCCTCGTCCACAGATTTGGGAGAGATGCTGGGAGAAAACAACAATTTCCATATCCACCGCCTCACTTGTTAAATGTGAACAAATTGTGCGTGGGAGTTTGCTTCACAACTTGATCCTGGTGAAAATCCCTTGGATTTGAAACAATCAATGTGGCGAAAAACAAACACTCCTTGGGAGCTTTACAGCAGTGTGCGTGATCTTGGTTTTTTTATTTTTATTTTATTCATGCACAGGCTTTGTTCTCAGCACCTCATCTGCTCTCAGAGGCTGAATGTGGATGTTTCTCTCAGTCCTCTATAGGATCGCATTGCAAATCCCCTTAAAACAAACAAAAAACCCCCCCAGAATCCTTACCTGCCACCATTTAAAGGTGTCATCAGAGAGGACGCTGTTCTCTCTGGTCATCAGCGGGTGGATGGACTGATTGAAGTGCTCAGCGAACCAGGGGTCGTCCTCCAGCTCCGTCATGCACTGCTGACAGGCGCATGGCCCTTTGGAGAAAAAGTTGTCCGACAGGTGAAAGGCGTACTTGAAGAAGTAGAGCGAGGGGTCTCGGAAAGTGTAACTGAACAGGAACGTCGTGAAGGTAATAACGCAAAAGAGCACGGCAAAAGTCCTGATTCTCCTCCGCTTGGGTAGAGACATGTTGTCACAGTCAGAATCAGTTGGCCGGGAACTTTGGGAGGGCGACGGACGAAAATAGCATCATGATAAATCTCGAGTCCCGAAGGTGTGAGAAAAAAAGCGACCCTGTTGACCACATCTCTCTGTGGTGGATTGAGCGTAACCTGTTGTTCTTATCCTCCAGAAAACACAGCACACGGATGGGAACAAATATCCTCAATAAAATCCATCCATGTGTTTCCTTCTTAGATTTTACATAAACCAAAGGAAGGTAAATCCACGGCCGGGGTCCGTCAGCTTGATGCTTCCTGCTTAATCAGATTCAGCCACTTTTGCTGACTGTCGGGATGTTGACTCTGTGAGGTCAGTGACTGATGTGTCATCCATTCTTTAATGATCCATCTAGAAGGCAAATAAAAGGACATTTCTGTGACACACAAACTGGGAAACATTAAGGGAAAAACAACCTGTGAACCCTGAATACTGTTTAACCATAAGCAGACAGTGGATGTAAATTCTGCACTGCTCAGAGTTCTTGTAATTTCACAGTACAAATAGTTACAAAATGAAACTGTCACATCATCCCTACAATTTCTTTGCATGGCTGTGTTTCATTTTCAGTGTTTTGTTTATTGCTCTGTTTTTTTTTTCTCCTTTTTCTTCTTCTTCTTCATTTTCAAATTACACAGGATGCGTCGCAGTCTCTCAGCTCTTAAAAAGACCGTCAAACACCAGAAATGCCTCCATTGATTGTGAGGATTATTACAGCTCTGGAACAAACAGGCACCAACCTTAATCACCCATCCCACTGTTAGGAATCTGTCAATAACTGGAAACAGCCTTTGTTATCCGAGGTAAAATGAAAGTCCAAATGCGCAAATCTTTTTTACTAACTGGGATAATACCAAAACAAGTCACTAGTACAGTGCCACATTCACAAATACAATTTCAGATAGTGTACATTAGGGAAACAGTTTCCTGTGATTTCGCTCCTTTTTCTGCTGATCTTCTCCAGTCTGCCGCTTTAAAGGCATAAAATTTTAAACGTTTTTTTATTTCCCCCCACGCCAGTTGTAGGTGATATCATTTAAACCAGTGATAACTAACCAGGGGGCACTTCAGCAGTTGCCATATGGAAAGATTGTGCTGATCTAATGTGAAAAACAGACATTTCAATTAGATTTAGGAAAATTACATATACTGAGTCTGCTGCGAGCAGCAACCTCCAGGGCTGGAAACACTGAAGCCAACGCAGAGCCGCCAAGAACCGCAGTTCCTCGAATGGCCACTTGGGGCGAGTCAATCCCCATAGACTCCCGTTTTAAAAATGTTGTCAGTCGACACGAGACGCAAAGACATGTCGCAAAAGTCTTATCAGTCACGACCAGCAGACAGCGGTGAATCCAACATGGATAGCCAAAGGTAACGCCACCAATTTGTCTAACCACTTGGACACAGTCACACTGCTGAATATGAAAAGAGCGTGGCTCAAAAAAGAAGAGAGAAAGGCCGATAAGTGCCAATGTAATCGTTCATTAATGGTAATTGAGGTAAATGTTTGAAATAATCCTGACATTGATTTGAAGTCCTGTCACCGAGCCCCGCTGCAGAGCCTGTACAGTCTGTTAGAAACATACTTGTGACCAAGCTCCCAGGATAAAATAGAACAGAGGAATGTTTTTTTCAGACCCCGGCTTTTTCACATCTGACAAAGCAGGCGCACCTCCTGGGGTTTCATATTCAACATTTTTCAAAAGGCCACCTCTCCCTTTAACAGAGCTGGGGTTTAATTCTGATGTGCAGCTGCGTTTAGGCTTCCACATATAGTGCTATATTTAGCTAACAGCAGATCCACGTTGCAGATGAAGTGCTATCATCACCGCACACAGGGTGAGAAATACATCTGAAAAATTAGCCCTAGAAACACTCTACCTGCCCTTTGCTCTTAACAATTTCTGAGCCAGGTCTCTATACAGAAGATTTGTGGGGAAACTCCATTATGATGAGAGAAAGGCTGCGGGTCTTTTCCTGATTAGAAATTGATCAGGTCATTCAAATTCCACCCTGGAGGGAAGCAAAGAGGATTGTGTTTAAGACGGGGGCCGAGAAAAAGAGTACGCAGCGACACAGCTTGCCTGTTGATTTCATTCTGGCCATCGGAGCAGAAAAACAAACTGTACAGCCATTTATCAGCAGCACTGACACAGGCCAATGCACAGGAAGGCTTATAAGTGATCCCGTCTGCTGTTCGCAGCTCCGTAACTCACAGCGGACTGAGGATTTGCATACAGCCCAAGGTTGGTTATTGTCTAAGGCAGCGAGTTTGACAAGGATACCTGGGGACACTTATAATGGACACTTCAATGACTACGCCTACTTCTATAAAGCAGGCTGTTGACTCCACTCAGTTTGAAGCCCGCTGGCAATAAGGGACCAGGTAGATGTGAGCTCGAGCTGAATATATTCTCAAACAGGTGGCGGCGTCCCCCCCCCCCCCCCCCCTCTTCAAACAATCACACCAACCGTCATCTCGTTCCCCTGACCTTGTCCGACTGAAGGCTGGCAACCCTTCGCTGATCAAAGTTCGCCAAGCTGAGACAGCAAAGCGTCTGTTCACACTTCAGAAGGGAGAGAGACGGGGGGGGGGCAGAAAGAGAGGGGGTGGCAAGCAGCAGTGTGTGAGCTTAGATTTTCACCCTAATCTTCAGTTTTGAGAAGTCATCAACTTTTGCAGGGTGTAGTTACAGTAAAGTGTTTTCAGTTTGTGCTCTGTGGAGATTGTTTCTCTCCCCCAGCTTACCTCTGCTACTAGCGGGCAATTGAAGAAGACAAAAATCTGCAGTTTTAAAGGGCTCATATGTCTCATACAGTTCAGAGAGGTATCTCTGCTGCTGTTGAACCAAGCCTCTCAGTGGGAGTTATCTCACTAGCAGTAGCTTTGTCTGTAATACACACACCTCGTTAGATAAATTAACATGTCAGCGTCATGTCTCTCACACAAAAGTCACAATGGCAATCTGACTGGGTTGGCCCTAGAAACATTTTCCTAACGCTGCAAATCCGACTTGAATGCTGTCACATCAAGGACGAAAGCTGCAGCAGCATGAAGTACACGCACACATAGAAATTAAACGCACAGCTTAAATGATAACACTTCAGCCAATTAGCACGTCGCCCCAAATCATGTGGCAGCAGATACAGTCCTCCTGCAGATACAGGTCAGGAGCTTCAAGTTAATGTTCACACCAAATGTCACAATAGAGAAAAAGAAAATGTGATCTCAGTGACTGTGGCGTGATGATGGGGTTGGTTTGAGCTTTTCTGAAACTGCTGATCTCCTGGGATTTTTACACACAACAGTCTCTAGAGTCTTTACTCAGAACGGAGCCAAAAAGAAAAAAAAGAAAAAAACTAGGCTCATCAAAACTGGACAGTTGAAGACTGGGAAAAAAAAAAAACGTAGGCTGGTCTGATGAATGTGGATTTCTGCTGAGGCAGCAGATGTTCGGGTCAGAATGTGGCTTCAACAGCGTGAATCCATGGACCCAACCTGACTTGTGTCAACAGTCCGGGCTGGTGGTGGTGTAATGGTGTGGGGAATGATTTCTTGCCACACTTTGATCCCTTAATACCAATCAATCATGGTTAGAAACAACTTTCGGAGGGATGTGACAGAAACAGGAGATTGGTTGATGAATGTGCAGCTGACAAATCTGCAGAAATGATGTGCTGCCATCATGTCAACACGGAGCAGAATCTGAAAAGAAAGTCTCCAAACATCCTGTGGAATCAATGACAGGAAGAACTGAGGTCGGAGGCTCTACCTAGTGTTAGTGTGGTGCTAATAAAGTGCTCAGTGAGTGTATATCCCAAGTATTCAAGAGAATAAAATCACTATTAAACCATGAAAAAGGAATAATGTTCTCATTTTAGAGCCTTGCACTGCAGGGCAAGAGATCATACCAGCTGTCCCCCTCCTTATATTTTAAATCATCGTTCGTAGGTAAATTTATGAATATCAAGCAAATGTGAGTCCTGCACTGTCGTGCTTAAAGAAATCTGCAGCGATACTCTCTATCTAATAAACAATGAAACTGTTGAGAAAATGTAACCTTGATCCCTAACCAAGTGAGAAACAGGGGTGAACGCCCACCGCGCTCAGAATAGTCATTGATCGAGGCTTTAACAGTAGAATAGGTTTTAAAATCTGTCACTGATGCAGCTGGTCGGAGAGAGAGAACACACTGTTTTAATGATACCATTACTCGTAAGGCCAGTGCCGTGATGCGGAGGTTCTGCGTCCCTGCTGTGTTAACAAAGTGGCAAAAGTTGGTCTTGATGTGGCTTGAAGGCGCGAGGGAAGTTTCACATAACAGACATCGACTGTACTGTATGTCTGACTGACAAAAAAGCCATTGCTTAACCAGACAGATGAACGATGTTATGTTTTCCACGTCTGAGAAAAGGGGCTTTAGAAAGCCTTCATGTATAAATAAAGTAGCCTAACTGCCCAGTTTCTTAATATGAATATTATTATGCGACAGCTGGAAATAAGAAAAACCCGAATGTCTGCTTTCATCAACTTTCAGTATCTGAAACTGCACCAGATGGGACGAATAAGAAGGAGATGTTAAAGGCAAGCGAGAAGAAATCCAGAGGGATCCTCTGTGAAATTCCTGCCCCATAACTAATAATATCACTCAGAGAATAAAAAATGAAAAAGCTCCAGATTTTACATTTGATGGCATCACATCTATGAGTCTTCATACTCTAGTCTCTGGCTTTGGTGGAGAGTATTTCATTTTCACAGCTATTGACTTTCAGTCAGTGCTTTATTTTAATAAAAAGGGAGGCATGGTTATGTTTGCTGCTCAAGCACATAAAGAGGATTTGAGGGGTACGGAGAGACTGAAAGGTCTTCTCACAAGATTTGAATAAAGGAAGAAATTGTTCTGAAATCCGTCCACAGATATGGAAGTAATACCAGGTCAGCTGTCGGATGTACTTAATTAAACTGAAGGAGAACAGTGTGAAAAGACGTACGGCATAAAAAAATCTTTTCTTTTAGTGTTTCTCAAAGCCTTAAATCTAAAACCATGTTTGCTGTAAGAAAAAGCATCTGACTTCAATCTTTTTTATTTTCATGCTTCTGAAGAGGGTTTGTGTGGCTCTCGCTGGGCTGGAAATAGTCTCCGACCCCTGGTTTCATGAAACTCTTTCAAAATCCAGCGGAGTGCAAAGTGGTCGAATTTAAAATGCAGCTGTTTATCTAGCCCCTGACATTTTGAAGGTGAGAGGTTTATTATATATATATATATATTTTTTTTGTCCAACAGCAATGTGTTATTTTAAGCATTTTCAAACTGCAGTGAGTGTGTGCTCTTCTAGCTATTGATGTTTACA